CTTAATCGACATTTCGTGGGTGTTGTGCACATAAGTTGCCTAACATATCTCTAACATAGGCCCAAGATAGGCAACATATCCCCAACGTATGCCCAGCAAAGCCTCCAAGATGGCTCACCACAGGGCCAACATAGGCAAACATAGGCCCAAGATAGCCAACATATCCTCAACGTATGCCCAACATAGCCTCCAAGATGGCTCAACACAGGGCCAACATAGGCCAACATAGGCCCAACCTAGGCCAACATAGGCCTAACATAGGCCAACCTAGGCCCAACATAGGCTCAACGTGGGCCCAAGATGTGCCCAACATAGACCACATGGGCTCAACTTGGCCAAGATGCGCACCAGATGGCTTAACTTTCAACCTAGGGCCAAGATGCGCCAGATAGCTTAACTTTGCTCACGCTTAATCGGCATTTCGTGGGCGTTGGGCACACGCCAACAGCAAAGGCGGAACATGTGCTCCGAGATGATCTGAAAGAGGCCTTCAAGAGGACCTCACCTAGTCCCAGCCTATAGTACACATAGCCGCAAGATGACCCGACCTAGGTCTCATATATGGGAAACATAGCCCCTAAGCGGGCCCAGATTGCCTCAAAATGTGGCAACATAGGCCTCGCACAGTCTCAACTGGGCCCAGACTGCCTCAAGATGTGGCAACATAGGCTTCACACAGTCTCAAAAAGAGAGAAAGAGAGAGAGAGAGGGAGAGACAGAGAGAGGGAAAGAGAGAGACAGCGAAGACAGAGACAGAGACCACAGAGAAGACAGAGACAGAGACTACAGAGACAGAGACCCACAGAGAGAGCGGAGGGAGAGAGGAGAGAGAGAGAGAGACGGGGTGGCAGGACATGTGCAAGACGGCTCTCCCGACTTCGGCGTATACCAGGTATACGCCCGGGCGGTCAGCCCCCTTCTCGAGAAGGACGCTCCCGGGACGGTCAGCCCCCTTCTCGAGAAGGATGCTACCGGGACGCCCGAAGTCCCGGTCCCCGTCTTGCACAGGGAGGGGCATTGTTCGGCCCCCCACCGACTGAAGATGTAGACGGTGCGCACCTGGCGAGAACGAATTCACGGACACTGCACTCTGCACGCATCGTTCACAGTTTTACAGTTCCTTGCAGTCTCACCGCTCGTGCAGCGCTCGCTGACCGGTCTTTTTATTACTGCTACGGCCTGGTTGTTGTCATGAAGTTGACCGTGTGAGCGATGCTCTGGCGGAGGCTGGAGCGAAGGCGCAAACGAACCAAGGATCTGTGCGGTTGGACGCACGCGGCGTCGAAGGTTCGGCCGCTTCTTTGGCTCTGTTTCGACCGCTTCTCCGTCGGAGTTTGCAATGCGACTCTGACAAAGTCATGCGCTGGCAGATGGTCCAACCGAACCTTTGGCTCCACAGGCCCACAAAAACGAAGTCATGGCCGAGGCCGTTCGGGAGCATACAGTTGAAACCCTGCTATAGTACAACGCATTTCTGGGCTTTTGACTCTGGAATTTCAGGCTTTTGCCGGGCAGGAGCGATGCTCTGGCCTTCGGGTAGGAGATAAAATGGTGCTGCCCAGGGTGGTTCTGCGCACCAGGTTTTTAAGTATGGAATTTTTATTAAGTGGGCGGACTAAGGGTTTGCCGGGCATGAGCGATGCTCTTGCGGACTTGGCTGCAGCGGCTGCATGACGCGCTGGCTAGGATGAAATGGTGCTGCCCAGGGTGGTTCTGTGCACCTGGTTTTGGAATATGGAATTTCTATTCAGTGGGCGGACTATGGTTTTGCCGGGCATTGAGCGATACTCTGGCCCTCGGGTAGGAGATAAAAAGGGTGGTTCGGTGCACCAGGTTTTTAACTATGGAATTTTTTATTAAGTGGGCGGACTAAGGGCTTGCCGGGCACGAGCGATGCTCTTGCGGACTTGGCTGCAGCGGCTGCATGATGCACTG